TTGAAATTAAAAAATTTTAAATTTTTGAATTTTAAAATCCTTCAATTAAAAATTTTAAATGTTTAATTTATTTATAAAATTTTGGAGTAAGAATGGAGTCTTCCATTCCACCATAATAAATTAGTGAACACACAATCCGGACATTTGTATCGTAAACTGTGTGTATATGTGCGTATGCCTGTGAAGAATGAATGAAATAGTGCATCAGTACGGAAGAACAGAAGTGAATCAGCGAATGACGAGAGCGAATTAATCAACAAATTTAGATCTCCCGTCAAGGTTCTAGCCCTAGAGCTCCTTTCTTCGAAAGGTAACGAACTTCACAACCAGTTAATTCGCTATCCGCTAACAGGAAACAAACGAACGAACGCTTCTACACTATCGCTTTTCACGCGACAAAAAAAGCTTGCGCGATCGAAAAATTTCCGGCTGACCAACGTCGATACGCCTGTTTCAGAAACTTGAGCAAGACGATGACGACGAGTATCTCAACTCCTCCTGGGCCGACGGCAGCAGTCTGAAGCGGCACTTTCAAGGTCTGAACAACATCTCCTGGAAACCGCACTAAGCGGGAGCCCAAGAATGGGAACGAGAGAGAGAGAGAGAGAGAGAAAGCAAGAAAGCAAAGGAGAGAAGGAGAATTTCGTAGCTTGTTCAAGTTACCGACCGCGAATATAGCCAATATTCTCTCACCGACTAACAAAGCTTGAAAGAACAGAGAATTCAAAAAAACAAAAAACAAAAAAATAGTAGAGAACCGTAATGGCGACGTATGTACTAGCTTCAGGTTAAAATATCCAACGGAGTGAACCAGAGGTGCACGATGCTCAATGCGAGAGTTTCGAAAAGGAACCGGGCGTCGATTTGCGTCCAAATAGCAAAAAAAAAAAAACAATAGAAAAAAGAGAAAAAAAAAGAGATAAATAAATAAACTCATCGGCGTTCTCTCCTCGAGGCGAAGAAAAACGAACGAACGAAGAAATCAGACCAGATTAGTTAGGGTTATATCGGTGATCCAGATTGTCGTTCATGAACAACAGACAGCGAGAAAGAGTGCGAGAGAAAAAGATGTAAAGAGAGAGAGAGAATGTGTGTGCATGTGTGTATGTATGTGTTTAATATATATACGCCACAACGCTATCGCATAATACTGTCCCACACTGTGTACGCGCTAATTATTATCCAATAGAGATATAACGATATTTTGTGACAGACTTTTTTCTACAACCGCCCGTGGTCGCGAGCGCGTGCGAGCGCGTGCGAGAGCGCGACCTCCCTCAGGTCCGCTGATCGATTAATCCGTCAGCGGCTCTCGTGTTTTTAGACCGGTCGATCGGCGGTGGCCGCTAGCACCGTGAGGTCGAACGATCGGCCACCTTGGCGAAGATCCAGCGAGGAAACATTACATTTGGATTCGTTGCCGATTATTCTGGCGCCTCTCGGGGTTCTCGACGTATCGTAAAGGGTACTTCCGAAATATCAGAAGAGGAACTTCCAGGATAAATTCCCCACGCGCTTCGCTCCGATATTCGCGAGAGAAACAGAGAGAGAGAGAGAGAGAGGGACGAAGGTCGATGCAAATGAGCCAGTCGACTTGGAAACTGTTCCGTTTCTGAATTATAGCCTCTTCTCCGACGGTTTGAACAAGTTCTCCCTCTCCCTCCACGGAAGAGCTACGTCCGCAACAGCCCTCGAAGAAACGTTGGTAGAAAATCCTATGGAAAACGTTCCGAAACATTTCCACGGAAGGAATTCGTGGCTCGATAGTTATAAGACAAGCTTCTCTGAATCGATTGTTTTTTTTTTTTTTTCTTTCTTTACGGAGGTTCCACTGGTATTATTTCAGAAGGATCCTGTACGATCCCACTCGTGGTACACCTTGTTGAACGTCAGACGATTTCTTCTTCTCCTTCGTGTGCGATGTTTTGCGTAAACTAAATCTCATCGAAGCGGCCTGGCCTGCAGAACTACAAGACAGTGAGACGAGGAGAATCTGTTTCCACGTGGATTCACGACGATAATACGGTTGAAAATCAGTCCAATCGACGGAATCGCCAAATGTAAATGTAATTTAACATACATACGCGATCCGCTCCTAATCATCGTGATAGGTGTATCGA